CGAGGCTCCGCCCTAACTAAGTAGCTTTGGCCTGTGTGTGGCTGTCAGGTGCCTGTGCTCCAGTGGACACCCCCCCCCCCCCCCCGCTTCCTCACAGCACTGCCAGGACTCAGGGTGTTATTAAAGAAGGACATCAGGTTGGGAGCTGTGCTGTGCAGTGCAGGGAATTAAAGGGAGGGGAGGGTGGATATGGTCAGGATACATTGTATACACGTAAGAAACTAGAAACAGCCGCCCCTGCCCCTCACCTTAGTTTGGGATTTACCTTATAGTCTGAACTTCTCCGGCAAGTATGAGGCCCTGGGTTTGATCCCTGACTCACACTAAAACAAAAAAATAAAAAATAACAAAGCCAAAGATCCTATCTTGAATATAACTTAAAAACTGTTCAAAAAATGGGTCTGTTCTGATGTGCTCATGCACGTATATAATGTACTTTATTATTTTATGCCCTCCTCCTCCTCCTTTCCTGGACCTTTCCCTCTTCCTAATTAATTAAAAACTAATTAATCATCCATACGCTTCCACTTGATTGGATTGAAAAATGCCCAGGAGATTAGGAGGAGCTCAGCGTGTGACTGAGCGTGCGTGCAGAGAAGATTAGATCACAGGGCTCAGGCCTTGTCAGTGCTTTACTGCGTCAAAGGATTAAAAATCTGAATTTACTTTTGGGAGGAATAGAACTGTGCAGATTAGGAGGAGATTAGGAGGAGCTCAGAGTGTGACTGCGCGTGTGTGCAGAGAAGATTAGATCACAGGGCTCAGACCTGGTTAGGGCTTTACTGCGTCAAAGGATTAAAAATCTGAGTTTACTTTCGGGAGGAATAGAACTGTGCAGGGTGGCGCCTGTGGGTCACTAGGGTATGACTTTGATGGGTGTGTTCTGCTCCTGGTTCCTTTCTACTGCTGTCTGCTCCCAGCCCACCATGAGGTGGGCACCTTGGCTCCCTTCTGCTCTTCCACTGGATATCCCATCTCACTGGTCCACAAGCAGTGCCTGACGATGCTTAGGCTTGACACCTCTGAAGCCACAAGCCGAGGGGATGCTGGCCCCTCCAAGTTCTTTCCCTCAGCTGTTTGGTGGAGATAAATGACGTAGCCAATCCACATTATTAAAGAATGAACGTTGTCCTTGCTAGTTTTGTGCTGATTACAGGAGAAAACCTTAAAACACAAGGTGAGAAGGCATTTCACAGGGAGAGAAACCGAGGCACGGAAGAGCTAAGCTGCCCGCTTTCACAGAGCTAAAGTGGCTGTGCTGGGCTCCAGGGTGATCTCGGAGTCCTGATTCTGTCAGTGCACATGGGAAGAGGCCTTTGTGTCCTACAGGGATGATTCGGGAAGCATGGGTGCTCCTCATCTTCCTCTTGGCTTCGGGAAGACAGCTTCCAGCTCTCTACTGTAGAGAAGGGTGATGTGGCTAGGTGTAGCTAGAGTTTGTCAAAGCATTTAAAATCTAACATCACAGCTCAAAATTCTCTCCATTTTGGTGACAGCCAAATTCAGATGGCATTGCCCCAAGGGAGAAGTTCCCAAATCCCTGAATAACCACACAGATCACACGGAGAACAGCTCAAGGCTGTTGAACAGAGTGACAGAGATGTAAATCTTTATGATGCTGACATAACAAAGGGACAATCAGGCACTGTTTGAGGGCAGCCTTTGTGTCCTTAGCACACATCAGTCACATGGAAAAATTCATGTCTTTTTACATTTAAAAGGGACACCATAAAGCAGGTTATTCAGACCCTCTCCCCCTTCCTCTCCTCCCCCTTTGCAATAAAGCAGGGAAAGAAACACACACTCTCAAACACACAGAGGCACACACAGAGATACACATAGAGGTCAGCACACGAGAAGCATGCACATACACACACAGGCACACACAAACACAAAATTTACTCATGTATGTATGCACATATTTTTTGTTTACTCTCTCTCTCTTCCCTGTACCCCCCCATCACACACACACACACACACACACACACACACACACACACACACACAC